CCATTTAGTGTCGGTTGCGGTGGCTCTTCATCCATCACCAGATTGGTTTCTTGGAGTTACGAGGTTTGAACTGTGTCAGGAAGATAATACTTGGCTACGGGAGAGAGAGTTGAATCTCTTTCCATGGGATGCTGGGACAGACAGCGGTGTATCGTATGAGGTTAGTTACGACTTATTAAATGGGAATTTCGGACATAGAAAGAAAATAATAGTGAATATGCATGATAAGGGAGAGGTGTCACACCGGTCGATAGTCAATTATCATTAAGATCCCAATAATCTGTTACATCTTGCATTCTAGAAGCCAATCGCTCAGTCGAAGAGCTTTAATTTTTCATTCCGTAAGTGGGCCGGTTTTAATACTAATATATTATTTAGTTTTACAGAGAGCATTTAGTGAAATGTATGTTATATTTTGCATAGATGATAATCACTGAACTTTCATTTTCCTCCAGCTTCGACTACGTTCAAATGAGACACTCACTCGATTCTCTATTTTAGACTTTGCGACCACTCCTAACGAAGCGACTCTTGTCTTCATACAAATCCAAATCTTATTTCTGTTTTAGTCACCGAACATTGAAACGTATCCGCAAGACACGATATCTCGCGTTGCAATGAGTTCATACGACAAAAAATCGCCCTTCTACCAAACGACAATGACGGAAATGCATCCGTTCGGAAAACTCCACATCAAATTCATAAGGAGCTATCACAGAGAATGCGAAGACGAGGAAGAAACTACAGGTTATGATAGATTCTATTTCGCTTATTTTATTATTGAAAAAAAAAAACTGTTTTTATAAAGTTAATTTAAGCTTTTTGTTGAAACGTGGCAGTTTAAACATTAATATTGAAAGCTCATTGAAAGATATTTTGATTTTCTTGTGCTGTAAAAAAAATAATCAATAAATTACAGCAAAATCGTTTAACACTCCAACAGTTCCAATGGAGTGGTCATTTTACTTAATTACATGAGGTGTGGTACTTATTACAAAGCTAAACCTACTGAGTTTTTGGCCGGATCTTATCAATGGGTCGCGATTCCGATCCGGTGGTAGATTCAACAACGCACTGCTCTTACTAGGGCAGATGTTAACACATTCGTTGAAGCAAAAATAGCCCCGCGAAGCTACTGGCAATAAGTATGCAAAAAAAGGAGCTATTTCGTTTTGGTCCAAATGAAAAAGGCAGCGAGTTCAAAGTTTTACTAACTGGTTGATCATGAAGAGTATTCAACTTACGTGTTTTAGAAACGACGAGTCCTGAAGGAGATCTAGAAAGCACATCAACCACAGAGACAACTACTACAGAAGAATCGGAAGGACCTTTCGAGCCAAAGCCGCCATCCAGGTACCAAAATCCTGCAATAGATAGCGGCGGTTCGGGGCGGTGAGCCTATGTTCATTATTTGGTCATTATCATCATCACAACCTGTTGTTCTACCTAAAAGTGTCTCGGGAATTTCGATTTATATCTCCTTGCAGTTGGAGTCATGCGTAGCTGTAGCGGTTTTGCAATGATGAGATAATAGATATAGACGAAATAATGCAATTATTTCGGACATACCAAAACCATTGAATGAACGAAAACACATGCATACAACTGTCATGCCCATATAGTTCTAAATATATTAAACATAATATTTCAAGTTTCTACATTATGATAAAAAAATGATATTAGTCATCATAGAGATTGGATTAATATTATGAACAGCCAAGCACCACATACATACTTAGAATAAGTTACTGCAGTTTTTTCATTGAAATGTATTAGTGGGAATTGTCTGCTTAGTCTTATAGCCTAACCATGAATAATCTTCAGTTATTGTCATTTAAAGATTCTTGGAATTTACCCCAATTTACCCCATAACATCAGTCGTCACATTCTTTTTTATTGTTCTTGTAGGCAGATTAGCATACGGCCCACCTGATAGTGAGTGGTTACCGTCGCTTGTGAACATCAGCAATGCTAGAGGCACAGCGAAGACGCTGCCTAAAACTATTGTTAGTTATTGTTGAAATAAATTAACACCGTTAAAAGAACAAATGAAATTTGTTTTGGCGCTTGTGAATTTTTATACTGTGTTTTGTTTTTTGTATTGCTCCTTCCATAGAGTTTTCTAGATATAATTTTAAGAGTGGGTTAAACGTAGCTCTCAGTTGAGTTAGCGAGTTCTTCTGTCAAGCTGGAGGATTTGGTCAGGAGGGAATCGCCGGACCTCCGCCCTGCACTGGGAAGGTCGAGGATGCCACTCGTATGGTATCCATATGCTCTTGTGATCGCTCAAAATCAGGTGACTTATTAAAAACTGAATCAAAACTGTGTCTCAAAATTTGCTTTCCTCTACAGCGAAGATCCGATAGTATTCGATCAGGATTCTTCTGAAGAATGTCCCATGTCTGAATGGCAAGCCTGGAGTTCATGCGAAGGGCCCTGCGAACACGGACACGTCAAGGGGTACCAATGGCGGGTGAGGTACCATCTCGTCGATGGCATTGCCGTTGAGAAATACGATCCTTATGTAAGTTTTCATAACTGAATATCTTCACAACTAAATTTGAGATACATGAAGTAGGCATGTTCGTAGGACAGTAATTGCCTTAAAATCTTGATACGTTCTTTAATTTCCTAAATAAATTGCTAATAATTTGCAAGTCTGTAGGTACGTTCTCTGAAAGTCTACAAATGTGTAGATTTGAATTAAAAGAAAAACTAAAAGAATCATTATTTCAGTGTTTTTTTAATACGCTTTTATTAGCTTCAGACGTATGTATGTTTGTAACGGAATCTTTGAACATGATTTTGACCCCCTTCAAAACGTCGGATTAACTTGAAATTTGGTATACTTATTAAGAACCGATGACCCAAGCTTTTTTACAATAAAATCATTTTCTCTTACACTATTTTAAATTCAAATTTATTAAAATTTATTATCTATTTTTTAGTTGGATTTTCTATAGAAGCGTATTTTGTTACTTTTTTTAAACTATCGGAACGCATAACCGTTTTGTAGCATAAATAAATAGAATAGTATTTACACTGTTCGGAATTAAAATACGCCATATTACCAGTAAGTCGCGATCGCAGTATACTAATTTAATACTGCTACATTGCTGTCCATACCCCGATGATTAAAATGATTGATTATTGAAATATAAAAAACATAAAAACTGGTGAAGTAATAACTTTAAATGTTATTTCTTTTTATAGAGCAACTCAATTTGTGCTACAGTTTTACTGGGTTAAACTTTATTTTGATGTTAATAAAATAATACATTAAATACTATTTCTTTCCTATAGAAGAAATTTCCTATATTAGGCAAATATCAGAATAATATCACGATATAAAATGTTGCAGAATCAGCACACTTTAAATCTAGAAGTGCCAAAGTATTGCAAAAATCACGTCGAAGATTTTCAAAGGAAAGAGTGCTTCGAGAAATGCTCTGAAGATTACGATGAGCATGAAGACGAAATTAAAAGTAAGCTTGTGTTTTAAGGAAAAAAAAATGTTTGAAAGACAAAAAATAACATCTATTTAAAGTCATAACTTATTCTAAAATCAAAGACAGATGTGTAAAAAATAATAATGTATGTACATATCGACGCTTGAAAGGCAAATGGTGACTAAGCGACAATGCGTGAACTTTACAGTAGACTAAAATTTAAAGTTGAAATACCTGAAAAAAATTCTATTTTAACGAATCTAGCTGTAGAATTGAAATGATTTTAACAGACCTAGAAATAAATTTTTTTGCGCATCGAATATGGTTATTGTCTATCATTTATGTAGGTACAAAGCAGTTATTGTCGCTTAGTCACGTTTGCCTTTCAAGCGTCGATATGTAATCATCATTCTCCTGCCCTTCTCCCAGTCACCTGGGGTCGGCGCAACATGTTTTCTCCTTCCATACTCTTCTATCATATACCATTTCTTCACTCACTCGCCTCTTACACATATCGTCTTTCACGCATGTACATTTGTAATATAGAAATAAAATTAAAAAAAATACACATTATAATATGTAAGAAATGTGAACAGCAAAAATTAACAATTGAAAGGTTAAAACAATATAAATAAACAAAATGCGAAACAAACATTTAATGAATCCTTTATTTAGACAAACGAATTAATCTATTTTATCTTATAACGTAATTTTCGCCATCTTTAAGTTTTTGTTTTGCTATGGATTGCTGAACGTTTTGAATAAGTTACAAATTTTCTTGCAGTGGAGAGAAGGATAATATCGGAGATCATGCCTGGTTCTTCATGGGGTGGATCGAGTAGAAAAAATACCAAGCATTAACAATATAATGTTTTTAGATAATTCATTTTTGTATTTAGCATTTAAGAAATAAACTTGGCTTAAATTGTGTATTTGTTTTTTTGTTGTTGTTTTAAATCAATATGTTTGTATCTAAGTATTACAATTGCCTAAGATTGGTTGAAGGCATTGTTGGAAGACTTATACCAGGCAATGGGTTGTCATTTTTCAATATTTTTATCGAAGTTGGACCCAATAGGCCCTAGTGTTGAGCTGTCCAACGGAATCCACGATTTATTATAATACAAAAAAAAAGAAACTGTGATGAATTGAATGGACTTGGAACATGTTGTGTTGTTTTTTTTATTGCTTAGATGGGTGGACGTGTTCACAGCCCACCGGGTTTTAAGTGGATACCGGAGCCCATAGATATCTACAAAGTAAATACGCCACCCACCTAGAGATATGAGTTCTAAGTTCTCGGTATAGTTACAACGGCTACCCAACCCTTCAAACCGATACGCATTACTGCTGCACCGCAGAAATAAGTAGTGCGATGGTACCTACCCGTGCGGACTCAAAAGCGGTCCTACCACCAGTAAAAGTCTTAATGATATACTATTTTATTTTACTTTAAGCTCGCGGACCCCGAGCCGTACTACTGCATCTCATCTAGAAATAGGTCTTATTGACTGGGATACATGAACTCGATTCGTAATTTCAGAAGTTGCAATAATATACCGCGAAGTGTTAACGAATTGACAAATAAACAAGGGCTAATAACACTAGTTACTGCAATTGAAAGTTCTATTTAGTTAATTAAAACGGTTTTAATGAACAATTGACCATCGCAGCGAGTTCATTCATCAAACGAGTGTGAATTACATACGTTGCACATGATTGTTGTGAATATTAAAGGTGTATAGAATATGCATTCGAAGAAGTCATTCGGTGAGTTTCCATGGGTTTTCCATTTAACATATGATAGTAGTAAATTTTATTTTTAATAATGTATTGACATTACTTTTGGGCTACTTATTAAACTTTTTTTTAATTTTTAAACCAATTTAAAAATTTTTTTAACTATACTGAGACCTTACAAAGTTATATCTCAAGCATAAGTGGGTGACGCATTTACGTTGTAGATGTCTATGGGCTCCAGTAACCACTTAACACCGGGTGGGCTGTGAGCTCGTCCACCCATCTAAGCAATAAAAAGGAAGGTACATACAAAACGTTAATTAAAAACAAAATGGAAAAAGAATATTATCGCCTCAATCAAATTTAAATTTTAAATTAATTTATTAAAAATGTTTTATTTATTATTTTGATTTTTATATCTGTTAATTACCACTGGAAACACACAAGAACCACCTTATGGGGAATAGGTATTATCGGTCCCTTAGAATAGGTATTAGGTAGCCAAACCTCTGTTCAGCGCTAAGTTGCATTTAGAATGATCATAAATCAAGCTTCTATTTCTTTATGCAGGTATTCGTGGAGTTGTTTTCCTGACGTTATTGTTCGGTTTAAGTATTTGCGATGAAGACGTCTGCAATCGTCGACCGCTTGGGACTAAGACGGATCCGCTTCCGCCTGACAATCAGTTCCTCATTGAAATAAACGGATTAATTGAAAACCTTTATATACCGAAGAAAGAGTACATAGGTACATAATTCATATCATAATAGTTTATAGTAAATCTACTGATCATATCACAATATCTCATAGATACATAATATTTTTGAAATATGAGAAATATGACAAAACCTGTCGCCAACTTAAATCATACTGCTAACTTGTAATCTTCTCTGACCGGAAAACCCCGCTTTACTTATATACGAAAGAAAACAAATAGATGTGTGTATATTTTTGGAGAAAATTCGATAAGGTTCTTGTCCAGCAGTATGAGAAATATGATAAAACCTGTCTCCAACCTCAATCATACTGTTAGCTTGTAATCTCCTCTGACTGGAAAACCCCATTTTACTTATATAAGAAAGAAAAAAATACGTATGTGTATATTTTTTTTAAATCTTAAATTGTAGTACGCTTGAGATCGAGAGATGCCAAATCAACTTTCATAGCGTTTACGATAGCACTGAAAGAGGACACGCTGCCGAATAGGAACAACCCCCGGAAACCGATCCACTTGAACGCTGGACGTTTGACGCTGATGCCGAACTCTACCACGACTAGATACAAACAGCATTGTGATGATACTGTTGTCGAATTGGATATAACGCCGAAAACTTTTGTGGAGGTATGAGCATGTTAACTCTTATCAAAGATTCGGCACAGCTATTTTTTTCTTCCATTCTCTTCTATCAGCCGCCAGCTCAACACTCAATACTCTCTCTCTCTCTCTCTCTCTCTCATAACGTCATCCACACACTCCATCCATGTCTTCTACGGTCGACCCCTTCCCCCTCTACCTTGAATTACCTACCATTTCCATACATCACCTAGTCATATCATCTTCTCTCTACGCACACATGTCCATACTACGCTAAACGTCCGCCCTTTAATTTGTTTATTACCGGTGCTACTTTCACACGGTCCATATGCATCTGAATTCACGACAAAGCCTATAGAAATGATAGCAGAATACACCTACCAATCCATTGAAGCTGTAACGCATGATGCCTTAGTGGGAGGAACAGGCAAATCTAACTACCTATGAACCTACAGCACTCTCAAACTACTATCAGTGCACAAGAGAATCAGAAAGCTTTGCAAGAAAGCGAAGTGACTAACATTACCCTAGATGATGGGACAATAGTCACATTATCACGTGTACTGTTAAATGTCCAGTCACATAATTTTTATGTGAGGTTTAACAAATCGCGAGACCTTGCGAGATTATTGAGTTTCACTGTTTTTTTTTTTTAATTATAAGCTGAGGTCATGTAATTAGTAGGATTAGTATAAAATTAAAATTTTAGGCACTTTGGACGGCTCCGGACAAGGACAACAAATGCGTTACAGTTTTCGCGGTGGTAGCTGTACAACCTGATGTCTGGTATAATTACGAAGGTCCGCTGTCAAAATGGATCTGCGAAGATAGGCGAAAGGCTGACGATATACAGCCTTTAGAAAATGACAACTGCCAAGCTTGTGAAGATGCAAGGTACCAGGTATGAGAAATTTGGTTTGTTTAAAGTTTTCGAGACGGGCGCGTTACTTAGGAATCTCAATCACATTTGTGAATGATACGTCATTGATTGGTAGGTGATTGGTGGAGAAGCACACATTTTTAATAATTATAAGACAAATATAAAAGAAAAAAGATCTAAAATGAAATGAAAATTCGTATCTTCAAACATCTAGACTTTTGTCGTATTTCTATCACGGATGTTTCGGTCCAAAGGTTGCGTTTATCACTAGGGAGACTATAGTTTGATACTATAATCAACTTAATAAATAAATAAAATCCACAAAAGTAGTCTCAATAAGGTACATTCTCGATGCAACCTCATAAATTTTGTGTCACTTAAGTTTTGATATTTAGGTCAGTGATAAGATTAAACTTATTTTATGGACATTAAACAAAATGAGAGAAACTAATAAAAGCATGGACATCAAACACGGGCTTAGAACGTGAATATCGTATATTAGTAGATAGCTAAAGATATCGAACGAAACGCATTACAACTTTGACAATTGCTCCTAAATTTAAATGAAGACATTTATAAACTCTCCTACACAAATTCATATTTTTTTTTATTAATAAATAATTCTAAGAATCCTTTTTCGGGTCTCAATAAATACATAAAGCTTAGGCTTGAATGGTCATATTTTTTATTTAAATACATTATATTTAGGAGTAGGGCATGTTTAGATTTGGCATTTATATAGAAATAGTGTGTTTACCAAATTAAATTAGCACAATATGCATATTTTTACTAATGATTACATCGTGGTATACAGTTGACCTTCGAAGGTACATGGTCGTACAACACGCATCCATCGCTGTTTCCGAAATCCCGGGAACTGGCCCGGTTCAGTGACGTAGTCGGAGCATCGCACAGCAAAGACTTCAGCCTTTACAAATATACTTCTGAAGCTAGTTTAGGCTTGAAATTGTTGGCCGAACAAGGGAATAGTACTAAATTAGAGATCGAAATACAAAAACAGGTTGGTTATCTGTGAGTCTTTTGATATTATTGAGTCTTATTTTATTATATCTTATCCTACTTCTTCTTCTTATCAGCCCACAGACGTCTACTGCTGAACATAGGCCTCCCCCAAGCCTCGCCACAAAGACCGGTACTGCGCTGCCTGCATCCATACATCCATACATCCATGCATTCATATATCCTACATCCATGCATTCATACATCCATACATCCAGCACTAGTGCATCCATACATTGCCATACGTATTAGTATTTATTTTAAATAAAAAGTTGCTGGGATAGCGTGGTTTGATTGCCATAGAATAGACTTTGTATTATTTAACTAAAAATGTGCTAATTAGCGGAGTTTAAATACGAGAATACTACTGTCTATAAAGAGATTTAATGGTCAATGACATTAGTAGAGTGACTCTTCAACTCAACAAGCAGCAACACTTTTCTTCGTTTCAGAGAAAGAACAAGGGAGGCAGGGTGTTGGTACTGAAAGATTTGAATTTGCAACACACGCTACCAAAATTAGAGCATGGGGCTTAGAAATTATCTAATACCCCTAACTAATTTAGGGTATTTTGCAAACCCGTACATTTGAGGTCCAACATTTTATTCCTCTTGTATGTTTAAGCTATGTATAATTATCAAGTAGTTGCTTATGTGTTATCAAACCATTAAATATCAATAAAGTATTAGGTGAGCACTTAATTTAATGTATATAAAGTATTATTTCTTTGAAGCTAGGTACATCTGTACGGACCGTGATCAAGGCATCAGCTCCTTACAACACAAGCATGTCAACGGTCACGAATTTTCGGGCTACGAGAGAACACCATCTAATTTCATTGGCAACGGCGTTGCTTCCATCGCCGGACTGGTTCCTCGGAGTCGCGAATTTAGAGTTATGCAGCATCAAGACCAATCAATGGACCGAAAACATAACTTTCAACTTGTATCCAATGGATGCTGGAACTGATAAGGGTTTGACTTTTGAGGTAAGGTTTTCAAAGACTAAGCTTGGCTTATTTCATAGAACATATAAATATAAAAGGCTAATTTTGAATTTGAATGTTTGAGATTTGTGAAAATGAAAATATTTAGCAGGAGCTATTATAGAACACAAGATATTTGAGAGATGCCTGAATCTCGCCAACGACATTTTCAAGAGAAGTTCGCTTAATAAGTAAGCTCCAAAGTTCCATTTAGATTTCACAACGACCTAGAATTATTATCTATCAGTAAGTATTTGAAGAATCAGCGTCGGAACGCTTCTCTGAAAAAGCTGCGTGACCCAAAAATCCTCTTGGCGTGGCCTCGCGAATTACATACTCAATCCAGGCGACCGAACAATATACAGTCTTCGTCGCCCTAACTACTTCATTTCCAATCCTTCCGATACAACCTTGGTGCTTTTAGGTGCGACCCAAGCACTGGTCACCGTTCGTCGGTTCGTTCGTAGAACTTAACCCACAGACACAGCCCACTGAGTTTCTCGCCGAATCTTCTCATAATTATTTTCACATGCCCACAATTGTATTGATTTGAATTTAAAAAAAATCAACAGGCACCGAACGAGGAAATGTCCCCGCCACAGCCTATTTCTCCTGCGAAGTTCATTAAAGAAATACCAAAAGAGTTGATGAAGCCATTCGCTAGACTTAGATTGAAGCTGGTTCGAACATATAGTACTACTAATTGTTCCATGGAAATTGAGGAACCAGGTACTAATTTTTAATATTAACTTTCGCAAGGGATAAATATTGACAAAATTGACACAGTTGTTAATATTACAAAATAATTGAATAGCTCGGATTTAAAAAATCGAAAAGCAATACCAAGTTGAATATGGAACATTAAGATATGGAGGGGTGAACAAGCAACATTTTTGAAACTTTATAGGGAGCCATTAGTTTGGAAAAAAAAAAAAAAACTTTAGCTATTTAAAGGAGTAAGCTTAATTGAAAAACATCGAACTGTTTATGCTAATACCCAATAAAATGCACCTTTAATTACAAAGCTAAATATGACGTATTAAGCGAAATATCGCTTAAATTAAATAGCTTTTCACCCCTCGGTATTGACTGTAAATCACCAGAGGCAGTTTTGTATCAAGACGCCGCGTAGGACACCTTTTCTATAGATTTTCTATTAGTACGTGACCGGATTGGCACTGTTTTTGGTGATTTTCATCATTGTTACTCTAGCTGTTAACGTGTTAAAAACGAAATATCACTTTTTTTTTCTTATAAAATGAAAACTACAAGTCCTTTCGAATTAGGTTAAAACATAGTAACTAGAATTAAAAACTACAGTGTTTGAATTCTATATGCAATGGATGTACGCTTTTTTATAATTTGTATAGTAGAATCGCTGGGTCACGTTGAATAGCGGTGGCAATGGACCGGCCGCACTGGAGATCTTATGGATCTTCTCTTATGGATATAGTTGGAGAGGCCTATGTTCAGCAGTGGACAGTAGACAGGCTGAGATGATGATCATTCAATGATGATGATGGTTCAAAATGATTTCGAACAAGCTACAAATACACTTTTTTTATTCAGTCACAAGCGAAGGTGATAATGATGCTGATGCCGGAAATGACAAAGATAGAGAGCATAATTATATAACTGATCCTCCAGTGACCACTCCGCCGACAACAACGACAAGGTATCTAATTAATAAATATATAGAATGATGTGAACAAAATCGGTGTGTCCGTCATATTTCAAAACAAAAGGATTTGTTTCGAAATTTGCATAGATGGGCGATATACCGGCTCATCTGGTGTTAAACGGTTATCGGGGCTCATGGATATCAGAACGCCAATACCATTAATTTTAGTCATGTGATCAAAGTCCCAATTGCATTGTGTAACGGCTGTCAAACTGGAATGCATGACTAATTCGCGGCTAATATGGTAGGATAGTGGTACCTATTGTATTGGAGTTTATCAGAGATAATTTCCTTCAAGAAATCTCTTTCATTAGAATCACCTTATAATAATAATAACAAATAACTGGGAACATATCACGCACGGTCGCTCGGCCCCAAATTAGGAGTCTCTGTGTTATGGGTACCAGAGACTGACGTACATAATTATATACGTTTAAATATATGTATACATATATAGATAATAAAAACCCAAACAAGAGCAAACAAACCTGTTCATAACACTGTTTGCCCGATTTGGTAATCGATACCCACAGCCCTCGGCGCAAGTCAGAGGCGCTAGCTCCTGCACTACCGACTCAGTCTTTAACTCTATAAAGCGTACGTTACTTAAGGCGCTATCAACTTTCCTTCTGTGAACAAATACAGCGAAGAGCCACCGTCCGTCGATCCGGCATCACCGGATGACTGTCCACTATCAACGTGGGAAGAATGGTTTCCTTGCCAAGGAGTATGTAACGACGGGAAAATCAAAGGAATACAAATACGATTGCGATACCGCATGGTAGATGGTGTAGCTGTTGGAAAATATTTCGGTGAGGTGAGTAAACAGATCATACTTCTGGAAAATGTTTAAGGATAAAACAGCTAATAGTCGTTCTTTGCCTAACGAAATGAAGCTTGGTCGGGTAGAGGCTAAGGGAGGACAGGAGATCTCTGAATTATTCTCTCAACATTTCCAAAGTGTGTATGATTCCAACATTAATCATGAAACAAGTTGCTCCTCTCATTATTGTAATGTGTCCGGCAATGCATCATATAATATCGTTGAAGTTAATGAAACCGAAGTTTTAAATCAGCTAAAGCTTTTAAATGCGGACAAAGGACCTGGCCCTGATTTGATACCTCCTATATTCATAAAAAAATGTGCTCTAAGTTTATATAAACCTCTAGCCAAAATTTATACCAAATCTCTCCAAAGTGGTGCTTACCCCACTCAGTGGAAATTAGCGCACTTAACACCGATCCACAAGGATGGGAGGCTGGATGATATAGCCCAATATCGACCTGTCTCCATACTGTCTGGGTTTGGCAAGGTATTGGAAGCCATAGTTAATAAAAAACTGNGCAAAGTTATCTCTAAGAGAGGAGACATTTCCTGGCCTCCACGTAGTCCAGATCTGACCCCGATGGATTTTTTTTTGTGGGGCTACCTTAAGGCTAAAGTATACGACACAAACCCGCGGTCAATTGAGGCCCTAAAAGAAAACATCCGCAGAGAAATGACAAGCATTTCAGCAGTGACGTGCCGCGCAGTCATCGACAATTTTAGACGTCGTTTGCAAGAGTGCCGTGATCGCAACGGATTACATTTAGGAGATGTTATTTTCAAAAAATAATTCCCGTTTTTTAAGCTTTTTATGTAAATAAAAATTTAATTCATAATGTAATTAGTTTTATTTTAATAATTTTTTTTTCATATCAAAGGACTTATGGGCCACCCTGTATTAGGTGAGCACTTAATTTAATGTATATAAAGTATTATTTCTTTGAAGCTCGGTACATCTGTACGGACCGTGATTAAGGCATCAGCTCCATACAACACAAGCATGTCAACGGTCACGAATTTTCGGGCTACGAGAGAACACCATCTAATTTCATTGGCAACGGCGTTGCTTCCATCGCCGGACTGGTTCCTCGGAGTCGCGAATTTAGAGTTATGCAGCATCAAGACCAATCAATGGACGGAAAACATAACTTTTAACTTGTATCCAATGGATGCTGGAACTGATAAGGGTTTGACTTTTGAGGTAAGCTTTTCAAAGACTAAACTTGGCTTATTTCATAAAACATATTATTATTAATAAAAAGGCTAATTTTGAATTTGAATGTTTGAGATTTGTGAAAATGAAATTATTTAGCAGGAGCTATTATAGAACACAACATATTTGAGAGATGCCTGAATCTCGCTAGCGAGATTTTCAAGAGAAATTTGCATATACATATACATGTATAAGTTCCGAAGCTCCAATTAGATCGTGAGGAATGTAGATTTCACGACGACCTATAATCTAATATATAAAATTCTCGTGTCACAATGTTCGTTCCCATACTCCTCCGAAGCCGCTTGACCGATTCTCATGAATTTTTTTATGCATACTCAGTAAGCCTGAGAATCGGCTACTATTTATTTTTCATACCCCTAAGTGATTAGGGTTGTCCACCCCTAACATATTTTTTTTTATTTGGCCTTTTTTTTTTTTGTTATAATGAGGTATTATGTGGTTGAATGAGGTTTTGTTATTTTTATTATATATTCCCTCATCGTTCACAGCACTACATACCTCTTTCACTCATTTACCACAACCTTACACACTTACAATAAGTTAGGTTTTTTTTCTACACTAGAAATTCCCTAGAAATCTTATATATGGCAAAACAATGTTTGCCGGATCAGCTAGTTATTATCTATTAGTAAGTGTCTGAAGAATCAGCGTCGGAACGCTTCTTCGAAAAAGCTGCCTGCCACAATAATCCTCTTAGTGTGGCCTCGCGAATTACATACCCAATCCAAGCGCGACCGAACAACATACAGTCTTCGTCGTCCTTAATCCTTCCGATCCAACCTTGGTGCTTTTAGGGGCATCTCAAGCACTGCTCACCGTTTGTCGGTTCGTTCATGAAACTGAACCCACAGCCCACTGAGTTTCTCGCCGAATCTTCTCATAGTTATTTTCACAGGTCCACAATTGTTTTGATTCGAATTAAAAAAACATATCAACAGGCACCGAACGAGGAAATGTCCCCGCCACAGCCTATTTCTCCTGCGAAGTTCATTAAAGAAATACCAAAAGAGTTGATGAAGCCATTCGCTAGACTTAAATTGAAGCTGGTTCGAACATATAGTACTAATAATTGTTCCATGGAAATTGAGGAACCAGGTACTAATTTTTACTATTAACTTTCGCAAGGGATAAATGTTGACAAAATTTACACAGTAGTTAATATTACAACATAATTAAATAGCTCAGATTTAAAAAATCGGAAAGCAATACAAAGTTGAATATGGAACATTAAGATACTTTACTGGATTTACTGGTGGTAGGGCCTTGTGAGTCCACGCGGGTAGGTACCACCACCCTGCCTATTTCTGCCGTGAAGCAGTAATGTGTTTCGGTTTGAAGGGTGGGGCAGCCGTTGTAACTATACTGAGACCTTAGAACTTATATCTGAATGTGGGTGGCGCATTTACGTTGTAGATGTCTATGGGCTCCAGTAACCACTTAACACCAGGTGGGTTGTGAGCTCGCCCAACCATCTAAGCAATAAAAAAAAATTATATAGAGGGGTGAAGCAAGCAACATTTTTGAAACTTTATAGGAGAGCCACTTAAGGTTAAAAGTTTAAAAAAAAAATTAAAAAAATCTTAAGTAGTAAGTAAGCTTAATTGAACAACATCGAACTGTTGATGCTAATAACCAATAAAATGCACCTTTAATTACAAAGCTAAATGTCACGTAATAAGCGAAATATCGCTTATATTAAATAGCCTTTCACCTCTCGATATTGACTACCATGTAAAGCACCAGAGGCAGTTTTGTATCAAGACGCCGCGTAGCACACCTTTTCTATAGATTTCCTATTAATAAGTGACTTCATTGGCACTGTTTTTTTTTTTGTGATTCACGTCATTGTTACTCTATCTGTTAATGTGTTAAAAACAAAATATCACTTTTTTTTTCTTATAAAATGAAAACTGCAAGTCCTTTCTAATTAGGTTAAAACATAGTAACCAGAACTAAAAACTACAGTGTTTGAATTCTATATGTAATGGATGTACCTACGCTTTTTTATAATTTGTATAGTAGAATCGCTGGGTCACGCTGAATAGCGGTGGCAATGGACCGGCCGCACTGGAGATCAGTTGGAGAGGCTTATGTTCAGCAGTGGGCAGTAGACAGGTTGAGATGATGATCATTCAATGATGATAATGGTTCAAAATGATTTCGAACAAGCTACAAATAAACTTTTTTTATTCAGTCACAAGCGAAGGTGATAATGACGCTGATGCCGGAAATGACAAAGATAGAGAGCATAATTATATAACTGATCCTCCGGTGACCACTCCGCCGACAACAACGACAAGGTATCTAATTAATTAATATATAGAATGATGTGAACAAAATCGGTGTGTCCGTCATATTTCAAAACAAAAGGATTTGTTTCGAAATTTGCATAGATGAGAGATTTGCACAACGCCAATACTACTAATCTTAGTTATGCGATCAAAGTCCCAATTGCATTGTGTAACGGCTGTCAAACTGGAATGCATGACTGACTCGCGGCTAATATGGTAGGATAGTGGTACCTATTGTATTGGAGTTTATCAGAGATAATTTCCTTCAAGAAATCTCTTTCATCAGAATCATCTTTTAATAATAATAACAAATAACTGGGAACAAATCACGCACGGTCGCCCGGCCCCAAATTAGGAGTCCCTGTGTTATGGGTACCAGAGACTGACACATAATTATACACATATACACATATATAGATGATAAACACCCAAACAAAGAGCAAATAAACCTGTTCATAACACTGTTTGCCCGATTTGGTAATCGATACCCACGGCCCTCGGCGCAATAGTCAGAGGCGCTAACTCCTGCACTACCGACTCAGTCTTTAATTCTATAAAGCGTACGTTACTTAAAGGCGCTATCAAATTTCCTTCTGTAAACAAATACAGCGAAGAGCCACCGTCCGTCGATCCGGCATCATCGGATGACTGTCCACTATCAACGTGGGAAGAATGGTTTCCTTGCCAAGGAGTATGTAACGATGGGAAAATCAAAGGAATACAAATACGATTGCGATACCGCATGGTAGATGGTGTAGCTGTTGGAAAATATTTTGGAGAGGTGAGTACATATACAATGAAAACAAATATTTATCACGATTTATTTCTTTTTTTTTTATTGCCCTTGTAGGCAGACAAGCATACGGCCCCCTAATGGTGAGTGGTTACAGTCGCACATGGACTTCAGCAATGCCCAGGGGCAGAGCCAAGCCGCTGCCTACCTTAAAACTGCCTTAAAGTTGAAAGTATATGCTCTCCCTATAGAGATAATTAATGAAAATTTTGGACTGCCTGTTGTTTCTAACTATATTTGCCAATTTAATGTGACCCCACAAAGAGAGTCCTTTTGGATTATCAAGAACAATGATATCCCGGATCGCTTAGCATCAGGGCCTCTATGGTGATAGTCAAGTTCTCGTTGTATTTGGAACACTATAAAATACTTGAGCTTATAGACATCAACCACTTAAATATACCCACCTTGAGACATAATATCCAAGTATCAGTTCTATAGTGCAAAGACCGACCCAGAGCAAAACCGGAACGCATTACTGCTTCGCGGCAGAAATAGGCAGGGTAGTGATATATAACAGTTCGGGCTCACAAGACCTCCTACTAGCAGCAAAAAAGCGATTAAGCGACACTGGAATAAGATAGCTCAATAGAGTTACAAGTGCATGTCCATCTTTTAACGCAGCTTGAAGGGAGAGCTAGGCAGCAGGGCGGGGCTGTGTAACTCTGCCACTGATAAATTTCATAAAAGGCAATGACCGTGACGGTTACAAAAATTCAATTTTAAACGTTTTCTCCTTACGTACGTAAGCAGTCGTCAATACACGCACCTTGCGCAGTGTTGACAAAGGCTTTGAAACTTTCTTTTTAGGAACAAAAAGAATCACAAACACCAGAGGAATGTTTAGATAAATACAGTCTTAGCGACACTAGGGAATGTGAGGAAACATGCGATAACGAATCGGAAGGTAGATATAAAAAAAATTTTTACTAATTACTACTAAATGATAAATATCCTATTTGATTATTTATTTTTGTATCTGACAACTACATAGTTGTCAACGTAATTATCTTATTTAACAAATCAACGTAATTACTTCAGTGTGACACGTAGAACACTGATGACCTACATGGCAGTCAAACAGTTAAAATGAAGTTTGATATTACTGCGTTTTGTTGACACGATATTACGAATAAAAATCTGACCAAAAATATTATAAATGCTCATGTGATAAAAACCTTCTTTGTTGTTTGTTGATTTGTTTTCCGTAATTTAAATTGACTTAATTTATTTTAAACAGCAGTTGACGAAGATAACGTTTGGGATGACACAACATCCGAACTTGACGAACAAGCTTTAAAATAAAACGCTTAGGAGTCGACTGAGAAGGTCCTTCCCTTTTTTCAAGTAGCAAATTAATGTTTGTGCGTCTGCTGAAATTTTACTTTTTATTTTTGTATAAAGTCTAAAATATGATCAATAGGTAATTGAAGTATCAAATTGTCTGCTTCTTCTAAACTTATCCATCATTTTATATGCATTTATTATGTAATGATTAAGATTATCATTATTTTGCTTTCTATTAATTCTGAAATATTAAGACGAATCATGGTATTTAATAAAGTAATACTTATTTCATTATATTTTGTTGTATTATTTGCCTAATGTGTAGTTTAATTGGATGGTGGTGCGTATCCGTGTTTGCCAAAATTACGCTGTACCGCTAGTGATACCAGAGTTTCACAAGTTTTACGGGTTTGATTTTTATTAGACGAGTTTTATCCTTGCTTGTGGAATTAGTTGGTGAATAATGAGTCCAACATACGTATTTTCTTAGAAAAAATGGAAATTGCCTGCGGGCTTTGAATATCAGCTTTTTTTTCCTACCTAAGCTGATAGCCTTTAGATGCTATATCAGCGCAACCGAGTTAGTAGGTGAGCTCAACTTGGAGCTGAGAACTTTTTTTTTTATTGCTTTGATTGATAGACGAGCTCACAGCCCACCTGGTGTTAAGTGGTTACTGGAGCCCATTAACGTAAATGCGCCACCCACCTCGAGATATAAGTTCTAAGATCTCAGTCAACGGCGGATCCAGGGGGTGGGTCATGGGGGTCATGACCCCCCCCTGAGCTAGTTCCAGGACTTGAACTAACTTGGACTAATTGAAGTATTTATCAAATTATCAAAATTAAATTATAAGTTCTTAACTTGCCCACGACTATGTGACCCCCTCCTGGCGCCAAAGCTAGATCCGCCCTTGATCTCAGTATAGTTACAACGGCTACCCCACCCTTCGAACCGAAACGCATTACTGCTTCACGGCGGAAATAGGCGGGGTGGTGGTACCTACCCGTGCGGACTGTTGCTAACACTAGCCCTAGCAAGAACAGGGCTTCGCAAAATCTACCACCGGATCGGAAACGCGACCCACTGACAAGATCCGGCGAGAAAGTCAGTGGGCTGTATCTATGGGTTAGTTTACTCGGCAAGCTCTTCGTCGCCGGTGACCGGTGCTTGAGGTACCTAAATCTGAAGGTGCAAGGTCAGGACAATACGGCGGATGCGTTAACACCTCCCAGCCAAGCTCTCTTAATTTTTGCTGAGTGGCTAAAGATGTGTCAGGTCTAGCGTTATCGTGATGAAAAACCACACCTCTCCTGTTCGCAGTAGAGTTCAGAATCGATAGTCTTGCCTGGTGGTAACAGCTCATAATAAATAATGCCCTTCCAATCCCACCACACACACAGCATCACCTTGTTGCGAGTTAACCCGGGTTTCGCAACAGTCTGTGAAGCCTGACCGCCCTTTGACCACGACCTTTTTCACACATTCTTGTCGAACGTGATCCACTTTTCATCACCAGTTATCAGCTTCTTCAAAAATGATTCGGTTTCATTACGTCATAATAAATAACACAAATGAGTACTTTTCATTAGGTTTCTTTCAGTGAGCTCGTGAGGTACCCAAATATCAAGCTTTTTTGTGTACCCAGTTTTTTTCAAATGCGCCAAGACTATTTTGTGGTCAATTCCCAGTTCTTCAGCTACGTCATAACTACAGGTATGCAGATCTTGCTCCACTTTTTCAAAAATAGCATCCGATTTATCCGTAATTGGGCGACCAGAGCGACGTGCATTTTTGACATAAAAACTTCCGGATCGAAAACGCTTAAACCGAATTTGTGCTACTCTCACAGCACTGCACTAGATCCATAAACATCGCAAATTTTTTTCGCGGCTTGCGTTACATTTTTACCTTTTTTGTAGTAAAATATTAAAATGTAGTATTGAATTTCTTCAATAAATTCACTCATCTTGATAGTACGAAAAATAAATAAAAATCACACTTAATAACTCTCATGAATTATCTAGGTTTCATATATCAGTGAAATTATCTTCTTTAAAATTTACATTTTTAATGATACCAAAGCCAGCCAGATACAAATAGTATAGCCAAAGAGATTTTATTACAAGTTCATACATACTATAATTTTCGAAAAGACTTTTCCCCCAACCTATTAATTAGTTACTACGTGGACATATTATCTACATTATGTGTATTATGCCACGTCGACCTAGTATAGGCATTTTGGTCATAAGCAGTCATAGAGGTCATAACGAATCCTGGTTCGAGGTTTATTAACTGTGTTTTGGTCCCCAATTATTTATTAATTCTTATTCATGATCATTGTCAAACTAATGGAATCCAAATTATGTAGTAATTCAATATAAACCCATATAGGTGTGTGAAATCTTATAAAATGGTAGCGTTTGCCATCCTAGAATATAGTAAATTCGATTAAGACCATAACCGTGATAACAACATTTTCAATTTGGAATGTAAATATACAAGTGCCGAAGAATAATAACATTCGGGCATCGAGCGATCAATTCGTTTGAACTTTATCTCTTACCGCTTAATTCATTTTTCATCTACTAAAGAATTTGTATAATCAAAATAATATCGTAAGAATAAATTAACTCGATATTGCTAACAACAGCGTGTGCCATGTCAAAAAGCTGATTGCATTTTCGAACAAAAATCTACATGAAACGAGGCCGAGGGGCAGCACAGTAGAAAATTATTTACCGTACTCTTTTTTTTCATGAATAGCAACATAGCAAATAATTGCAACCCTAGACCTTACGTCATCGGTCATCAACTTTTGTAAAAATGCAATCAGGGTTTAGTCTCTTTAATTAGAAATTTCCACAAACGTTCCTAGCATTTTTTGCTTTGTAATCTATCTATTATGTTAAAAAAAGAGCCAAAACCTATTACATTTAAAAATCTTATCAAAACTTCCCTAAAGACTGTATTCGTTGTTGAGGCTGTCGCCTTTGCTGTGAGTTACGGCGTTTGGTATAGGCTGAACACCGACCGAAGTGAGTAAAAAAACTTAAATTAACAATAAAGCAAAATTTTAAGTCTGTAACTTTTAACGTCCACAAAAGACAAATACAATTAGAGTATTGAAATTTGACAATTTAATTGACAAAACTCAGCTGCTTTTCGGTTAATTTCTATTTTTATGAGTATGCCACATTATTCCTAGGCTCCACCTCATGGATTTTGTTTTATTTCAAAATACTAAAAGAGTCGTATTTAATCGCAGATTTCCGACTATATATGTTTAAAAATCACAACTGGGTCTTGGAAGCGTACTACGGACTTGGTGAAAAGATTGCTGATCAAAAAACTCGTCAACTCGACTTAAAAGTGTGGGACGGCGAGGGCAAACTGTAAGCTCCGGGATTTATAGGACTGGTGAGATGAGTATTGCTATAAGAGCCACTTTCTGGGTGGTCACATTTGGCACCATTGGTTACGCTCTGTTCACGTTGGTCAAACCTGATGATGAACTTCTCAAAAAGGTCATTATTTTTTAACAATTTTATTTCAGTTCTTTTATGTTTGTTTTAGTCACTGTCCCTTAGATGTAGTTTTAAGCATGTTTTGTTGTGCCATATTTCCGCTATTATTTATGGATCTATATTGTAATGTGACTAAAACATCAAAAATGTTTGACATTATTCACTAAATTTTGCTTTCCTTTGTACATATTAATTAACTTCATCACCTTCATCAAGTTTGGTCATTACTTTTGTGGTTGTAAATAAAAGTTTAACAATATATAAAATTATACACACTGTTATTGAACGGATCGTTTTCAAACTATATGTGATCATGGTTTTTGCATCCACACCAGTGTAAGGGACTCATAAAATGTGAAAATCCTGGTAAGAACNAAATTTTGCTTTCCTTTGTACATATTAATTAACTTCATCACCTTCATCAAGTTTGGTCATTACTTTTGTGGTTGTAAATAAAAGTTTAACAATATATAAAATTATACACACTGTTATTGAACGGATCGTTTTCAAACTATATGTGATCATGGTTTTTGCATCCACACCAGTGTAAGGGACTCATAAAATGTGAAAATCCTGGTAAGAACTTGTTAAATAATAATGTGTATAATAAAAACAGTTGAAAAGTTTAAAATAATTTGTTTTTAAATATGAAAGTTTAATTAAGTCTTCAATATTTCCAGTTTGATGAACATTCAAAGAATACTGATGCAAGAAAACTCTCCAAACAAACAATAGAACAACTTAAAGAAGCTGCCAACCAAAATTCAGAATTGAACCAAAAGATACAAGCATTGTTGAAAAAATGAATGATAAACATTCTGTCTTAGAACGTCTGAGCCGCAGAGATGCTCAGAGATTAGAAAAACTACAGAAGGCGCATAAGGCAAGAGAAGAAGTAGATGCATGTGATGAAAACGAAGATTACTTTTCGGGTTCATTTAAAATCAAATCTGAATATGTTGAAGATCTTTTAGCTCAAGTACCAACAATAGACAACAGCATGCTCCCATCTCACTTTGACATCATCAAAAAGGAAATTAATGAACTACAGAAATATGTGGTAACATCAACATTTTTCCTTAAGGAATTCAATTTGAGAAAATTTCTTGGCATTGTGCAAAATTTACAAACTAAATGTTATGAATTAGAAGACAGATATGTTCCTCGCAAGAAATTTGGCTTTTCAAAGAAAAAGCTTCCAAAATCTCATAGTCAAAAACAAAATTTAATGGATGAAGCTGATGGAGCAGCTAAAAAAGACAGTAACAAATGGGATGAAAATCTATTTGGATTCAGTTCAAAAGAAAATGAAGTTTTGCTCTTAGAAAATGATGAATTGTACCGAAGAGATGTGGCTTTACGTAATTTGAAAAATTGCACTATAGGTCTCAAAGGTTTAATGGGAACATTACATTTGATCAATTTGGAAAACTGCATAGTTCTTTCTGGGCCAGTAACATCATCAGTATTTGTTGATAAGTGCACAAATTGTAAAATAGTTATTGCATGCCAACAGCTTCGTATGCACACATCAACAAAGTGTGATGTTTATTTGCATGTAACTAGTAAAGGTATTGTAGAGGACTGTTCCCAAATACGCACAGCACCATATAATTTGTTCTATGATAACTTGGAGAAGCATTATGAATCATCCAGTTTAGATAGAAATTCAAATAACTGGGATAATTTGGATGATTTTAATTGGTTAGCTCCTGATGTAAGTTCACCAAA